CTCTGCCCGCCGCCCCCGCCGCTCGCCCGGCCCCCGCGCCGGGGCTGGTGGCGGGGCAGCAGCCGGCGGAGACGCCGAGGGACCGGCGAGGGGACAGGGAGGAGCCGCCAGCCGGGGCACGGGGACAGGGACGGGCGGGCAGAGAGAGCGGCACCGCGGGGAGGGGACGGCAGGGGACACAGAGCGGGGGGACACGGAGTGCCGTGGAATACTGAGAACCGAGGAGACGCCGAGAGAGAGCGGCGGGGACAGGCGGCTGCCGCACAGGAACGCATCGGTAGGGGCTCTGCCCGCTCTCTGCCCGCTGTCGGTCCTCACCCTGCCCCAGGCTCGATGCGGGCCGGCGCTGGCCATGGAGAAGCTGTACCTGGCGGGGAGCAGCACCTGGATCATCAACAGCTCCCTGGGGAACGGCAGCCTCCGGCTGGAGAACCTGAGCGCCGGCAGGAACAGCACCGCCGACCCCCTGAAGAGGAACGAGGACATGGCCAAGGTGGAGGTGACAGTGCTGTGCCTCATCCTGTTCCTCGCCCTGACCGGCAACCTGTGCGTGCTGCTGGCCATCCACACCACCCGCCACAAGCACTCCCGCATGTACTTCTTCATGAAGCACCTGAGCATCGCTGACCTGGTCGTGGCCATCTTCCAGGTGCTGCCCCAGCTCATCTGGGACATCACCTTCAGGTTCTACGGGCCAGACTTCCTCTGCCGCTTGATCAAGTACTTGCAGGTCGTGGGAATGTTTGCTTCCACCTACATGCTCCTGCTGATGTCCCTGGACCGCTGCTTGGCCATCTGCCAGCCCCTGAGGTCCCTGCACAGGAGAGCTGACCGGGTCTCTGTCCTCCTCACCTGGCTGCTGTGCCTGCTGGTCAGCATCCCGCAGATCCACATATTTTCTCTAAGGGATGTGGGGAATGGGGTTTATGACTGTTGGGCAGATTTCATCCAGCCCTGGGGACCGAAAGCCTATGTTACCTGGATCACCCTCATGGTCTATATCATCCCTGTGTTGATGCTGAGCATCTGCTATGGCTTAATCAGCTTCAAAATCTGGCAGAACGTGAAGCTGAAGACGGCTCACGGGCCCAGCGTGGGGCTGGGCTCGGGCTCCCGCGGCGGGACGGTGTTTGCCAGGGTCAGCAGCACCAGGCTCATCTCCAAAGCCAAGATCCGGACAGTCAAAATGACCTTTATCATCGTGCTGGCCTTCATAGTGTGCTGGACTCCCTTCTTCTTCGTGCAGATGTGGTCCGTGTGGGACACCAACGCCCCGCAGGAAGGTACAGCTCCCCTCCCTCGCCCTGCTGCGCTTGGCGGCTCCGCTCGGCGCCCCGGGGACACCCCGGGGAAACTGCTCCGGGCTGGGCTGGGGGGTGGGAGGGAGATGGGAGAAGGTCCTGAGCACAGAGAGCCCCCACAGGCAGCAGTGGCTGAGCCGCAGCTTTCCCGGGCCAAGGGCTGCCGTGGCTCTGGCAGACTCCGGGCCACTGCGGCTCAGGGCAGTGCAGAGGGTGGTGGCTGTCCCTGGGTGCCACTGTCCCTGCATGGTGCCAGTCCCTGGGTGCTACTCTGGGGTCCCTGGAGATTCCCTTCCCACCCTGGCTGCTGGGACACGCTGCGGGTTGTGTGGGAGCTCAGGAGAAAGCTGCACAGCCTGAATTCCTTCCCTTTGTTGTATCGTTTCTTCCTCACTGACTTTTTGCTTTCTGCTCTTGGCCTCTTCTCCCTCTCCTGCTCCATCCGCCCCGGCACTGTGCTGCTGTTATTTTATCTCTGACTGGAGCACGGTTCCCGTAGAAAAACCCTGATTTATGAGCAAAACCTTTCCCTAAAAATGTGGTGTCACGGATTTACCACTTTTTAATATTTGGGCCAGCTGCTCCCGTCGTCCCTGAAGTTGCAGATAGAACAGAAAGTGTCACCCTCCCTGGTCTGACACTGCTGTGCTGTCCCCCGCCAGACGGGAGAACCACCTGGGAGACCTTAAACAAAAACTCCTCACGACTTTGTGAGGGGGGAGGAAAGGCAGAAAAGTGCACCCGGGGATGAGAGCGCCTTGCACAGGCTGAGCCGGGCTCACCAGGAGCGCGGGTGCCAAAGAGGAGGAGGAGGAGGAGGAGGAGGAGGAGGAGCTGCTCGCTGCTCCCGGGCTGTCACTGCTGGGCTCAGGGCAGCTGGCACGGCTGCTCAGCCCAGTGCTGCCCTCGCCGAGCCCATCCCCACGGCACAGCCCCTGTGCCAGCCCAGCACTGCCCTTGCCGAGCCCATCCCTATGGCACAGCCCCTGTGCCAGCCCTGCTCCCCACAGCCCCGTGCCCCATGGCACAGCCCCTGTGCCAGCCCAGTACTGCCCTTGCCGAGCCCATGCCCGTGGCACAGCCCCTGTGCCAGCCCTGCTCCCCACGGCCCCGTGCCCCCTGGCACAGCCCCTGTGCCAGCCCAGCACTGCCCTTGCCGAGCCCATGCCCGTGGCACAGCCCCTGTGCCAGCCCTGCTCCCCACGGCCCCGTGCCCCCTGGCACAGCCCCTGTGCCAGCCCAGCACTGCCCTTGCCGAGCCCATCCCCATGGCACAGCCCCTGTGCCAGCCCAGCGCTGCCTTTGCTGAGCCCATGCCCGTGGCACAGCCCCTGTGCCAGCCCTGCTCCCCATGGCCCCGTGCCCCATGGCACAGCCCCTGTGCCAGCCCTGCTCCCCACAGCCCCTGTGCCAGTCCCGCGCTGCCAGGAGCCGCGGGCGAGCTTTGCCTCTCCTGCTTCTCCCTGCTCCACTGCTTTCAGAAGTGCAATGTGCCTCACGCACCTCCCTGGCTGCTCCAGGGGTTTTCCACCTGATTCGGGCTGCTCAAAACTTCCAGTTCCGAGATGGCTCGGGGGTGAAGCAGCAGCCCTCCATCGTGCTGTATTTGAATCCTGCAATCTTGAGGGCTGCCCCTCCCTTCCTGGCACACAGCCCTCGGCAGCACCCAAATCTCTGCTGCTGTGCTGACCCTCGATGGACAGGATTTGTCCATCCCAATCCTTCTGGCTGCAAAGGGAACCTTTCCCTTGCTCACCCTGTGCAGTAGGCCTTGCAGCACTTTTCCTTTTCCCTTTCCCTGTCCCTTTCCCTTTCCCTTTCCCTTTCCCTTTCCCTTTCCCATTCCCTCCCCTTTTCCCTTTTTTTTGCTTTCCCCTTTTGCCTTTCCCATTTTCCCTTTTTCCTCCCCTTTTCCTTTTCCCCTTTTCCCTTTCCCTTTTCTTTCCCTTCCCTCTTTGCTTTAAGGCAGGAGGGATCTCCAGCCCTGCCAGGCTGTGCCACACTCCCACTCCCACTCTGTCACGTTCCTGTCTGCGGGCAGCCCGTGGCTCTGCACAGGGTGGCAGCTGTGCCAGGGCTTTGCTGGAGGCTTTCATGGCACGGGGGGAAAAAGCCTGGGGTGGGTGCAAGCGCTGGGAGACCCCAGGCCTTCGTTCCAGGCTCTCCTCCTCCTTTTGGCTGCCCAGAGGCGTCAGGGGCAGCTCAGTCAGGTCTCTCTGCAGAGCACTCGGGCTCTGCCTGCACGTTCCCACAGCCTTGCCCCGATCCCGGATCCCCTCCCGGTACCGGGCTCGGGGGCTGTGGCCAGGCAGCAGGGTGGGCTGCAGGAGAGGTGTTCCCCCATGTTGGGGAGGGAATGTGGCCTTTCCTCCCCTCACAGCTGCGTGGGCACAGGACAAGGAGGGCAGGGGGTCCCTGGGTGCAGCAGCAAGGGGGGCACGACTGCAGCCCAGTGAGCTGCACTGGGGGTGACTGGCCAGGCAGCAGAGACCCCCCTTAGGAGGCCACACAGCCCAAGGCCTCTGTAAGGTGGGTGGGAGCTACACGTCGTGATCCAGGTTTGAGCACTGGGGACCCTCCCCAGGAGGCTCCTGCTGCACACACTTCACAGGGAACGCCTGCGGGGCCGAGCTGGCAGCCAGAGCTGGCTCAAGGCGCCTGTGGGGACAGCAGCAGGGCTGTGGAGCACCACGGCTGCTGTACCACTGCCTTCACCCCGGGCAGGCTCCTACACCTGGCTGTGAGGGCAGCAGAGCCCCCAGAGCCCTGCGGGGGCACAGCCTGCACCCCTGCCCGCCCCTCAGCAGCGCCTGGGGACAGGAGCCATCCCCCAGGACACGCTGGCTGGGTCAGCACCCCTCGGGGTCTCTGGTGCTCCAGCCAGGGATGGGAGAGATCCACCCTCCAGACCTGCCCTGCAGTAAGCTCCCTGAAATTCAATTTGCCTCCTGCAGAGAGGGAAGAGCTGAGTCAGCCCTGGCTGGGGGTTTTCAAGAGTGTAGAAACACTGGGATGTATTTCAGGTCTTGCGCCTGGGGTTTGTAACCCCTCCACATGGAATTATTTTTTAGCATGTACTTGGAATGAATTATTATTGAAATATTATTATTACTAGAAATTAATTATTATTTTTTAGAATATACTTGAAATTAAAAGTAGTTGGAGCAGACGTCACAGAGAGCAGGGATACGCATCCGTTGGCTAAAGTGAATTTGGAAGCTAGCATTTATAGTCACATTTCTTCACTGCTCTGAAAACTGCCAGTGGATTTTTGCAGAGGCACGAGGGGGCCAGGAACAGCCAAACCAGCCGTGTTCACCTCGCTGCTGGTGCGTCCTCTGGGAGCAAAGGGGCTGAGGAGATGAGCTGGAGCACAGGGAGCAGGACAAAGGCTCCATCCCACCTGCAGCCACCTCTCGGAGGGGACGTCCCCCCTTGCCCCGGAGCCATGGCAGATGCCAGTCCCACCATCCCCTTGTCACCAGAAGGTGCCAGTCCAGCCTCTCAGGTGGGACAGTCGGTGCTTTGTGCTCTGGGGCCAGCAGCAGCCAGGGACTCGATGTCCTGGCACTGCACTGGGGCTGTCCCCGGCACCGGGGGATGCCAGGCTCCCGGGCACTGGGAATGTCCTTCCCGGCAGAGAACTGTGTGGGGAAAACTAATTCCGGGGAAAGAAAGATGGCTGGAGAAAGGTGCTGGGAGAGCAGCGGGCAGAGGGCCGGGCTGGTGGGGCAGCCCAGGAGCAGGGGACACCCGGGCCCGTGCTGTCCCACAGCCCGAGCGGGGGGAGCCGAGAGCCTGTCCCAAATCAGCCGCTGCTGTGGCAGAACGAGCCACCGCCTCTGCCTGCCCCCAGAGCTGCTCTCGGCCACTGCAACCGCAAGGGCCGCGGTCCCTTGTCCTGCCGGGGGCACCTTGGGACCTGCAGGTTGTGCTGCGGGGCTGCTCTGCCTCCGGAGCGGGGAACGCAGCTCCTGCGGGAAAAGCCGAAACCCGAGCTGCTGGAGCTGGGGCTCGCCCTCTCCCTCCCCGCAGCAGCTCTCCTTTCCCAGATGCTGGAATTGATGCTCTCTCTCCCTCCCCGCAGCAGCTCTCCTTCCCCAGATGCTGGAGCTGGGGCTCTCTCTCCCTCCCCTCAGCAGCTCTCCCTTCCCAGATGCTGGAGTGCTGTTCCTGCGGGCTCATCCCTGCGGGCAGGGCTCTGGGATGCCGGCGGGGCTGGGGCTCGGGCAGGGGCCGTGTGCCGTGCCCTGACTCCGCCGTGCTCTGTCTCGCAGCCTCGCCCTTCATCATCGCCATGCTCCTGGCCAGCCTCAACAGCTGCTGCAACCCCTGGATCTACATGCTCTACACCGGGCACCTCTTCCACGACCTGATGCGCCGCTTCCTCTGCTGCTCCGCGCGATACCTGAAGTCGCGGCCGGCGTGCGAGCTGAGCAGGAAGAGCAACTCGTCCTCCTTCGTGCTCAGCTGCAGGGGCACCAGCCAGAGGAGCTTCGTGCAGCCGCCCACCCCGTGAGGCCGCCGCCAGCCGGGCCCGGTGCCGGTGCCGCCCGGTGCCGGTGCCCTGCGGAAAGCCGGGCCCGGACAGGGGGTCTGCAAACAGGCGTACACACGGCTTGGGCATGCACAGAGGGCGTTATTTAACCGAGACGGGGAGGAATTCTGTGTCCAAGTCTCAGTGCTGCCTGGGATTAGACAGCAGGAGCCCGTTCCTGAGCCCAAACCCTGACTACAGTGGCTTATGGATGCCACCGAGAGGGACAAAGGACGCGGTGCTGCTGGGGCTGCTGCAGCTCAGGGACATGGGTGTCACCCTGGTACGTGGCTGGGCACCGTCCCACCTCCTCCTGCAGCAGGATCCTGCGGGACGGCAGCGCCTGGCACCGCGCTCTCCGCAGAGAAGCGCTCGCTTCGCTTGCAGCCTGTGGGACAGAGGCAGCCCCGTCCCTGCAGCCCCGCAGCTCTGCAGCCCTGCATCATGCCAGACCCGGAGCCTTGCAGCTCTGCCCTATGCCAGCCCTGCACCCTGCCAGCCCCGCACCATGCCTGCCCTGCACCCTGCCAGCCCTGCCAGCCCTGAAGTCCTGCAGCCCTGCACCATGCCAGCCCTATCCCTGCACCCTGCCAGCCCTGCACCCTGCCAGCCCTGAAGTCCTGCAGCCCTGCACCATGCCAGCCCTATCCCTGCAGCCCTGCAGCCCTGCACCATGCCAGCCCTGCAGCCCTGCATCATGCCAGCCCTGCAGCCCTGCACTCTTGCAGCCCTGCATAATGCCAGCCCTGCATCATGCCAGCCCTGCAGCCCTGCACTCTTGCAGCCCTGCACCCTGCAGCCCTGCTCCCCCTGCCTGGGGCACAGATACGGGCACTCCTGAGGTCAGCAGGGATCAGCCTCGAAGGGACAGCGCTGTGGCCCGGGTGTCCCCAGCCCAGCTGTGTGCCCTGTGCCCAGCGAGGCTGGGCGGACGGCTGCCAGGAGCCTGGGGCACGGCGGGGCCGGGATCCGGGCAGTGCCCTGGCCGGGAGCGCTGAGCAGCCTCTGCCCGGGGCCTGCGGGGTCCGGGCGGGCCCAGCTCCCACCGGGACACTCCTGTCACCCCCCAGCCAGGCTTGGCTCTGGCTCACCGCAGGTGCCAGCAAGGCTCCCACCGCTCCGTGCCAGCCGCCTGCTCCGTGGCACAGGGCACACTCACGGCATGGATTTTTATTGCTAACAAATACTGTAAATAAAGTTTTCTGACTGTGTCTGTGGAAGCGGGGGGAGGCGTGGGGGGAGCTGGGCTGAGGGGTTGAAGGGGATGGGTGGGAGCACCCAAAGCCCCCGGGCAGCCGCGTTCCCGTGCTGCCCCCGCAGCGGGAGCTGCCCCAGCGCACAGAGCCGGCGGCGACACGGGCACTGCAGGGGACACTGCTGGGCTGGCAAAGGGTGATGTCATTTGGCCTTTCATGATGGGAATGAACATGAAAAACGCATTTAAATGTGTCCTTTATTTCTTCACTGTGGCCAGCAGGCCCATTTGCACCTTTCCTATCCTGAATTTCCTTTGATTTTTTGTGGCAGCTCCAAGTGAGCTCTCAGCACATTTGCTGACTGGACACCAGTGCTCGGGACACCATGGAGCATTTTCTTCCCACATTCACCTTTTTCCTCCAGAGTCACAAACTCCTGCACAAAACAAGGAAGGAGGGGTCTCCCTTCCTGGAGAGTCTGAGGTGCATCCCCCCGGCCAGGGAGGAACGAGGGCAGGGCCGTGGATACCACCGGGTGGAGGCACGGAGAAAGGAGGGAGCTGTGGGACACACAGGGAATTGCCCTCCAGCCCCGGCTGCAGCTTCTGGAGGTGTCTGGGGGCCGGGCAGGGCCATGCCCCACGCCTGGAGCTGCTGCAGCCGAGAGGGGCCGAGGCTGAGCTCCTGCGCCGGCCCCAGGCTGCGGCAGACCGGCAGCGCCCCGGGGAATGCTCTGCCAAAAGCTTTTCAGGAGGCCAAAAAGTGAGAAGAGGTGCTGGCAGGTGAGCAGCGTGTGCCCCAGGTGCTGGGAGCCCAGGGAGCAATGTGGTGGGGACATCAGCACTTCAGGGTTTTTTGGGTTCAGGCAGTGAACTACAACAAAAACAAACAACAAGAAGTAGTATAAGCCCATTATACAATTGATTTCAATTATTTTTATTCTCACAAAAAATGAAGGTTTTTTTGAGACTTTCCCCCCCCTCCCTATAATTACCTAAATATCTTTTTTATTTTTTTTTTAATCACTCCATCCCTCTTGGGCCCTGCTGTTGCTGGAGCTTGGGTACCACATTGCTATGGAATACCAGCAGTATACATTCCCAAGCCCTTGGAAGAGCTCCAGCAGAAATCCTGGCTCTTTCTCATCCTTGGCGTGGCACTAGAGGAGTCTTTGGCTCCAAGTCTTTGTTGGAATCCAAGGGGAAGGCTCACATGGAGACAATTGAGAGCAGCCTCTGAACAAGGAGACCTCCTGGGCCCTGGTTCAGCAAAGCACTTAAGGCTGGAGCCAAAAAAGCGTTCAAGGGCCTCAAAGTGAAAGTGCAGCTCCGTGGAAGAGGGACCGACCAATTAATTGACAGTACAGGGCAGGAAACAGCTCCGAGCTGCTCCTCGTGGCCCTGGCCCCCTCTCCCTGCGGCCGCAGGGTCCCGGCACAGGCTCGCTCTGCCACTCTCCCATCCCTGGGGCAGCCCCGGGTGCTGAGGGAGGGGCCCCGCTGGACCGGAGCCCCCTCCTGCTGGCAGAGCCGGGGGATCAGCACGGTCCTGCCCCTCCTGCATCCCAGGAGAGCGCGCAGGGACAGCCCTGTGGGACACACACCCTGCTGCGGCTGCAGCTGACTGAACCGGCTGAACGCGTGTCTGGCGGAGATTGTCCAGAGGATCCAGCCCAGGCCTGGCTTAGAGCCCAGCCTGTCTCAGCTGAGGTTCCCCAAAGCTCCGTGTCCCACCTGCCCTGGATCCTGCCCACGGCACTTTGATGCTCCACAGTTAAGTACACAATTGAGCATGGAAGTGCCACGGGCGGGTTTGCAGCTGGCGGTGGCCCAGGGTCAGCTCACGCTCCCGGAGCAGACACAACATGTCATGCATGGACTGCTCTGGCTCCCACAGCTTGGCTGAAATGCAAGTAGGCATGAAAAACGTTTGGTGTAGCTATTCTATCCCTAAAACCTTTGTGCAGCGGTTTAATGCACAAGCTCCCACCACAGCAGAAGCTCCCACCACACACAGTAACTCCTGTGGGGGAGTTTCTGCCAGCCCAGCCCAGCCCGGAGGGATGCAGGAGCAGCAGGCTCTGGGCCGTGGCCAGCAGCAGCTCTGCAGCCCCGCTGCTCAGCCGGCACTGCAGGCTGTGCTGCAGGAGCTGCTGCAGGAGCTGCTGCAGGAGCTGCTGCAGGAGCTCAGGGCCTGCAGGGCACAGGGGGCTCTGGGCTGCTCCCTGGGCCACGATGGGCTTCCTTCTGCTAAGGCTTCTGGCTTTGGGATGGCCTGCCTCAGTGAGCATCCCTGAGAGCCAGCTCTGCTGTGGGGCCCTACCATGGTGAGCAGAGAGCATCCTGCTGTGGGGCCCTGCCTCGGTGCTGGGCTCCTGCGCCACGGGGTCCGTGTGGGGCCCTCACAGGACAGGGGTGTCCATGTGCAGGTCCCTCACAGGACAGGGGTGTCCATGTGCAGATCCCTCACAGGACAGGGGTGTCCATGTGCAGATCCTTCACAGGGGTGTCCATGTGCAGATCCCTCACAGGGGTGTCCATGTGCAGGTCCCTCACTGGACAGGGGTGTCCATGTGCAGATCCCTCACTGGGCTGTCCATGTGCAGATCTCTCACTGGACAGGGGTGTCCATGTGCAGATCCTTCACAGGGGTGTCCATGTGCAGATCCCTCACAGGGGTGTCCATGTGCAGGTCCCTCACTGGACAGGGGTGTCCATGTGCAGATCCCTCACAGGACAGGGGTGTCTGTGTGCCCAAGGGCAGGCAGCCTGCACAGAGGTGGCTGTGTGAGGGTGCTGGGGCAGCTGCCAGGACCTAAATCTCCTTCCGGACGGCAACTCGGACGTTGCTGCAGATCTTTGCGAGCGCCTCAAAGAGCGGGTCACAGAAGGTGTGGATGCAGAGGGAGTAGATCCTGCTGACGCACTGGATCTCGATCAGGTAGCTCTTGATGCAGGGCACCACTGCCCAGATGTGGCAGAAGGAGATGAGGGCGAAGAGGAAGCCCCAGACGACGGCCAGGGGCACGCCCAGGAGGGCAGAGAGCAGCCGGTAGCACCAGTACTTGCTGACGGTGAAGGTGGTGTAGCTGCTTTTCCAGACGCCGTCGAAGCTGTAAGTTCCCACGGGCTCAGCTATCACGTCCTCAAAATCCACCTGGGAGGAGAGCAGAGGACACAGGGGAGGTCTGGGGGTCAGCAAAGGCCCTGATGTGAGCACGAGGGTCTGCACGAGGGGAGAGCAGATCCCAAATGGAGGGGCCTGGGGAGGGTGGGGACAGGGCTGGATCCCTGCAGCCCCGGGCAGGGACAGCCCTGCAGAGCTGGCTCAGGGCTCCCAGCACTGCCCAGCCACAGCCTGTGGGCAGCAGAGGGGTGGCTCAGCCCACGGCCACACGGGGGGTCACAATCCCTGTCCCATCCCTGATCTGGGGAGTCAGGTGAGGCCGGGCAGGAGCCCTTGGAACAGGAGCTGTGCGTGGGAGTGCTGGCTGCAGAGGCACCCAGAGCCCATTCCTGCCCTTTTTTAGATTCAGGGACGTAGCTGCCCACTCGGCAGGAAGGTGTTTGTGCCAATAACGACCCAGCAGCCCTCTGGATTTATGGATTCTTTATTTATACCCATAGGATGATGTGCTCAGTGCTGTCTGTCCATGTTCCCCCTGGGGAGGGAGCTGGGGCTCAGCCCTGCCCTTGCCACTTGTGCAGGCACTGGGAGTGTCTCTGAGTGACACACACTCCCAAAAACTGCACGCAGAGATCCCCTTGGGGTGTAACTCACTTGCAGGGAATATATGAGCTGAGCTATTTGTCTTGAAAACCAGCCCGGCCTCCCCTCTGACAGATGCCGTGTCTGTACATTCATGTTAAACAACAATATTCATTCTGCTTTTGGAAGCACTTGGATCACAAAATCACTCTGTGTCATCTTTAATTTCCTGCAGTGAGCAGGAGGTGCTGACAGAAGTATTGACAATGAGGAGCCAGCAGCCCCAGAGCTGGCCCTGAGGTGCCATCAGCAGCCCCCAGGAAGCCCAGCTGTGCTGGGGACTAGCCCAGGTTACTGCCCAGCTGCCTGATGGGCTCATCAGGGATCAATTAATGCAGGGAGCAGTGGGATATAAAGACAGGGGCTCTGGCCCATGGCTCCTTCAGCTCTCGTGGCACGGGGAGGAGCTGTGGGGGCTCAGGCTGGGTCTGGATGCTGCTGGGGGTGCTCAGGGAGCAGCACTGCAGGTACTGCTCCTTTACAGAGCCGTGTTCCCCTTCAGGCTGGGAAAGCTCCCCGAAGGTCGCCCAGTGCAGCCGTGCACTGCTGAGGTGCTGTGCTCCAGGGGCTTTGGGAAAGGCTCTGAGACATGAGCCCGGGTTCTGAATGCTGCTCTGTGATGCTCGGGGTGTGCAGCAGGCCAGGTGAGCCCTTCCTCCCGCGGAGCACGGCAGGTCCTGCTGCCCTCCCTCCCCAGCCCTCCTGCCGCCGTGCCCTGGGTGCTGGGCTGTGCTGGGCTCTCCTGGGGACACAGCAGGGTGAGCTGTGCTCCTGCCCGCTGCCTCTGCCCTCCCTCCCCAGCCCTCTGGGGCTATTTTGGGGAGCAGGAATGCTGAGCTCTGAAGGCTCCCAGTGCTGCTGGAGCAGCAGCGTGGCCAGGCAGTGGGTGAGCTCGGAAGGTCTCATCAGGCTCTGGAGATTTTGGGACAGGCGGGGATGTGCTGGGGAGAGGGGCTGCTGGGGGCCCTGTGGCTGGCTGGGACGCTGCTGGCACTGCCACCCAGGAGTGGCTGGGGGCACTGCCACCTGGGAGTGGCTGGTGGGGCTCCCAGGCTGGGCAGCCCCAGGGCACTGGGGTGAGCGGGCTGGGGGCTCTGCTGGTCCCTGCTGCCAGGGCAGAGTGCTGCTCCCCTGGCCTGGCACCTGCCCACGCCCCAGGGCTGGATGCACTGGCAGGGAGTGGCAGGGTGCTGGGCACGCTGCTGAGGTGTCAGGCAGCTGCCAGGGGCAGGGCTCACAGTGCCAGCAGAGAGCCCAGCGATGGCTGTCACTGTCACAGCTCATCCCAGGGAATTTCATTTGACCACACCACGGTTGCAGCTGGAATGGTGTTTTCATGCCCAAATTGAGGTTTGTGTTTCAGCAGTGCTGTCAAGGTCACAGCCTGTAACAAAGCCTGGGTGAGCAGCTCTGTGCCCGCTGTCCCTTCTGCTGTGACAGTCACAAACAGTTTTAACAAAACCCTTCCACCTCCTCCTGTTCTCCTTTGGGCTGCAATTAGCTTTGGCTAACAGAGACCAATTTTGTTTGCAGTTCTAAGGGAGTCTAGAGGAAGCCCAAGAGTTAGAATGGGAATTCCTCTTGGTCAGAAATGGGGGGAGGGAGCTGGGGGCTGCTGCACCTCTGGGCTGCCCTGGGGGGAGCAATCTTCCACAACCACGACAGCACACATCAAGCAACAGGTACTGACACTGGTGTCTTGAAGGCCACCAGCCTTTTCCCAATATCCCTTTAAACTGGTGATACTTAATTTCTGTGTTATTTTTGGCTACCAGCTTGCTGGTGCAAAGGAAGGCGTCTCCATACATTTTCAATGAAACTGGAGAGCCCATTCAAGGAACGGGAAATGTGGCATTAACTGGAGCCAGGCGTGCCATCCAGCCAGTGTCTGGGTGCCTGGCCAGCAGGGCTGTCACCTCCCCCAGCCCTGGGGACGGCCCTGCTGGGGCCACATGGACAAGGACCACCAGCGGTGGCTGAGTGGAGCCAAACACGCAGCAAGGTCTGACCCCAAATGCTGCAGGAGCACAGCCCTACCTTCACCACGTCCTCGTTGATGTGCTTGGGGTCTCTGTTGACCAGGTCGATCTCCTTGGTGTGCTGGTCCTTGACGATGATCCCCTCCAGCTCTCCGTGCTCCTCTGCCATGGCTGGGGCACTGGGCAGCGCCGGGACCCCGACAGGGACAGGGACGCGCTGGCCCCGCCTGCAGCAGCTGCCCTGTGCCCCTGGCACTGCTCCAGGCTAAAATTAATGTCCTGGCTGCCGAGGCCGCCCTGAAGTGTCCCTTAAAGGGGCTTTCCTGGGGCCAGCCCCTGTGCTGTCACCTCAGGGGGATGGCATGTGTGTGGGCGGCTGGTGGCCTTTGAGCCAGGGCAGGGGTGGGCGTGCAGCCCCCCAGCCCAGCTGTGCTGGTGGGAGTTCACCCTCGTGTGGGACAAACAATGCCCAAATTGGGGCAGAAGGTCTCAAAAGCCTAAAAGAAATTGTTGTTTGTGAATCTTTTGTAAGGTTTGTTGTTTGTAAATGAAGCAGCTCGGGGATTCGGGAATCATGTCTATAAATATCACCCAGAGAAGCCACATTGTCCTGGGGTGGCCAGAGCTCCTCAGGGCTGTTCAGAGCCCAGGAGAAGGCTCGTGGTGCCTTGCTGGATTCCTCAGGCTCCAGCTTCTCACCCGCAGAAACTCGAGGAAATCCAAGACCAGCCCACGGAACCATAGTGATTGGAATATCTCCTCCAGGGATCTTAGTCAAGATTTATTTAACCTGGGCTGTACTTTGCTAATCCTCCCCAGTGTCTCCTGTGAGCTCCTGCCTTTCATGACCTGGGGATTTGTTTAAAAGTGCTGGTTTTGTGAAAAAGCACTTTACAAAACAGGGGTTTTGTCACCCCCCTGGCAGCTCCCTGCAGAGGAGCCCACGCAGGAGCTGCAGGTGGAAGTGCCCCTGCAGAGCCCACGGGCACGGCTGGCACTGCAGGGCAGGCATTTTAAGGCAAAGGGCTCTGCTGCCTTCCAAAAGCACCAGTGCCTGGGCAGGGCTGCTCTTGCCAAGCCCCCGTGGCCCCGTGCCCGGAGCTGCAGTGGCCTGGCTGTGACACAGCCCTGGCTGAGGCTGGGGTGGTGCAGGCTGGCAGAGACCTCCCTGGGACAGAGAGGGCAGAGCTGGGGCTGTGAGCCCACAGGGTCCCGCAAACACACGCCAGGCACCTGTGGACAGGGGCAGACTCTGGAAGGGGCTCTGAGCGAGGGGCTGGGAGTGTAAATCCGGCAGGGTTCTTCTGGAGAGCAGCGCCCATCGATGTGCCCCTTCTGGGCAAAGGGACACTGGGAAACCCTTTGGTGGCAGCAGTTCCACCTCCCTGCAGCTCTCCCTGCTGCCCCACAGACGCTGGGAGACCCCCAACGCGGCACAGAGCGGTGCTGGAGGTGAAATCCTTCCACCCGCCGGGATTTTGGGCAGCAGCTCCAGGCTGCTTGGCCGCGGCTGGATGGGGCAGCAGAGCTGCAGGGTGCTGGGGCAGGAGCAGCCGTGTCCCGTGCGAGGAGCGGGCTCTGCAGAGCGCACGGAGCTCCGCGGGCAGGGCAGGGCTGGCCGGGGCCAGACCCGGGTTAGCAGGCACGGCTGCTGCCGGCCGGGGCAGTGCCAGCGCGGCGTTTGGCGCTGGTTCTCCTCGGCCAGTCCCACCTGGAGGGCTCGGCGTGCCTTGGAGCCCTGCCCTGGTGTCCCCAGCCGGCCCCGGGCTCTGCGGAGCGCGGCAGTGGCGCCTGCCCCGCCGGGTGGCATTGCTGGTGGCATTGCTGGTGGCATGAGTCACTCCTCGCCTTTAGGCTGTCCTGGGCCCGGCTGGCCCTGGTGTCCCCGCCCTGGTGTCCCCGCTCCGGTGGCAGGACGGGAGCGGCAGCGACAGGCAGTGTGTTGTGATAAGGCACGAAATGATGACACAGACACTGCTGCTCTCGAGGGGAACAAAAAAGAAGAAGAAGAACTTTATTTTCTGACTCCAACATTTATAGTTTTCCAAAGGTGACAGTGGATTGGAGGGTGACAGTGCCACCTCTCCAATGCCACTGGACAGACCAAGGGTCCATCAATTCTCTCCACCTCCATAAAAGAATGCAAAACATAGGTTATTTACAGAACTGTGTGTGAGAAAGTTTGTTGAAAGAATGTAAGCATCAGAAGGCTTAACAAAGTCTTACAAAATCAGGGCGACAGCAGTGAGTGTCTCCAGCAGCCGGGAGAGGCACGGGAGGGTTCTGTGGCTGCTATAAATAAATGTATTTCCGAGTACGTTCAGGCTGTGCACGGGACACGGTGTGACAGTGGGCAGTCACACACGCGGGGCAGGGGAGGGCAGGGACACCTGCTCAGAGCTGCTCAGATCTGCCCCAGAGGGATGCCAGGGAAGGTTTGGTCACTGAGATCCAAAGCTTTCCTTGTCAGAACATTTGCTAGGAAACCGGTGACACGTTTTCTGCAGGAACAGGCAGCCACCACTGCCCCCACCCTCAGCAGCCCCCTGCGTGCTCTGGGGAGCAGATTGCCAGGACCTGGGCAGGCTGTAGGGCTGGGCATGGACCTGGAAGTCAGATAAATAACCTGCTGCTAGGAGCCAGCAAGACAAATAGATTTATTTCTCTTGAGCAGTGAAGAATGAAGCAGAAATAAAGCTCACTGAGATCAAAGTTCCTGTGAAAATGAACAGGCCAGAACTGCAGTGAAGGAATAGTAAAGCAGGAGAAATTGGGAGTGTGGCTCTCCCCCTGCTAGCATCACTGAGGGACCCAGCCTTGCTGGGTCGTGCCAGAGCCCCTGGGTGAAAGCCTGGCCTTGGGCAGGGTCCTGGCCCTGCGAGGGGCACGGGGCTCCTGTGTTCAGGTGGTCCCTCCAGCACTGATGACACAGAGGCTGCTGAGGGCAGGGATGTGCTGGCATTGGCTCTCAGAGGCAGCGGAAATCGTGGCTGGCAAAGACGAGTTTGAGCAGAAGCTCCGTCATGTTTAATATCAATTAAAATTAAATTTCACAGAGGAAGTACAGAAGAAGGGTAATTCATCATTCAAGCTGTTGTCTTAGTTTGTTTCTATACAAGGAGTTTGCCCTTTAAAACGGAGAGAAAGTCTATGAATATCAGATTCATGCCCCTGTGGTGCACAGCCACCGATCTCTGCATCCTGGGCTCGTTGTAAGAGCTGCAGGGGATCCTGGGGGGATCCTGGTGGGAGCCTGGGGGGATCCTGGGGGCTGCTGGTGCTGCCTCTCTGCAGGCATGAGCCCATGGAGCAGGGTCAGGGCTGTCCTTGTGGAAATCCTTCTTTATTTGTTCTTTTTGTAAGTTCTTTATTTCTCACGCAGCCCCCAGCGGAGGTCAGCTGTGACACCCTCGAGGCTGCATTTCATCCCATGGTCCATGATCAGCAGCTCTTCCTTCTGTCTTCATCTGACCTGTCAGCTTCTTTTTGCTCTGGGCACCTTTCTTGTGGGTCACAGGGATGCCAGGGGTGCATCAGCACCCCTCAGGTGAGCTGAGAGGAGATGGAGCCCACGGAGGCACCCAAGGGCTGTTTGATGGCCCCCGGGTGCCACAGGAACCAGGGCAGCTGCTTCCCCTGGCATGGGCATAGCCATTCCCTCTCACACAGGAGCTTCTGGCTCTGGGCTCAGCTGGGCTCCAAGGCTGCACAAATGCCTGTCCTGCTGGGTGTGGGGATGGATTTGTGCTGGGGATGGAGCAGCTGCCACCCCTCTGGTGGTGCTGGGGCTGAGCAGGGCTGGGGTGTCTCCAGCAGTGGGGTCTCACCAGCCCCAGCCAGGCCGGGTGCTTCACAGCCCTGCCCTGGCAGTGCCAGGGCTGCTCTGGCTAAAACCAGCTCTGGCACCTCATGGGATGTTGCTGCTCCTCTGCTGGAGGTGCAGGACAGCTCTGGAGAGGCCTCTTGCAGCTTGTGTTTGTGTCACCTCCTAATCTCAGCTCTTCTCTCTCACTGGCACTCTGAATTCCTGTGGATTTTCATTTTAAAATAGCCTCTCTTGCCTTGGTTTATCACCTGTGACATAACCAGCGGGGTATTCTGAGATAAGCAGAGTTAACCAGCTGTGCTGCTGCTTAGAGCAGGGTCCCAGCCTGCCTTTGGCTGTCATTTACCCTGGTGGCATTTGTTTTCTCCCGAGTCCAGAGTGGCAGCAGTGGAATGATGCTTTCCCTCCAGCCAGGGGCACTGCCAGGATCCCAGCCATGGCTCAGGGAAGGGCTCTTACCCAGCTGCAGGGAGGGTGGTGGGAACCCAGGAGGTTAAAGTGTCTCACTGAGAGAGGAATGAGCACCAACAGGGGCTTTGTGGCACAGGTTCAGGGCCAGAAGGGAGGGAGCCTGTGTGCCCTGCCCCGTGTGCCCTGCCCTGTGGCTCAGAGGGGTCTGACATTCCCTGGCTGTGGCACAGCCAGGAGGCCCCAAATGCCTGCAAATAAGATCCTTTCCAGCCCTGGAGCAGGACGAGTCTCCTAATAACCCAGCAGAGAGCAGAGATCCTATTTCTAGCGCTGGCAGCTTTACATGTGGAGCTCTCAGCTGCTCTCCCTGACCTGTTGTGGTTCTCTGCTCTTCTCTCTGGCTCTGCCTGTCTAAAAGCTGAATGCTGGGCTGGGCTTAGCTGCAGTGTGGCTGCTGACCACCCTCCCTTTCCAAAGAGCAGCTGAGGAGCTCAGGCAGAGCCAGGCTGTGTCTGTGCCACTGCTGGGGGGGGCTGGGGGTCCCTGGGGGCATTAGCTGTGCCAAGGGGGGCACTTGAACCAGGGGCAGGAGCTGACAAGTTTGTGAGCACCTAATACCCCAGCTTAGCATGCTGGCAGCTGCTGGAAACCAGGGCTGCAGGCACGGGAGAGTAAAAACAGCAACAGTGAGAGAGCTCCCTGTGTGCCCCTCCATCAGAGAGAAAGTCTGTGAATATCAGATTCATGCCCCTGTGACACACAGCCACCAATCTCTGCATCCTGGGCTCGTTGTAAGAGCTGGGGGGATCCTGGGGCTGGTGGTGCTGCCTCTCTGCAGGCATGAACCCATGGAGCTGAGCCCAGCCTGTGCCTGGCTGAGCTGCCCTGCCCTGCCAGGGGCTGCAGCCTCCCTGGGGATGCTGAGCAGAGGGTGCTGCCTCCTGGGTCCAGCTGCTTCTCCTCCCCTTTCTGCCCTGACTGG